CGCTCAAAATTCCTATTTGTTACCATCTGAATGAGTTGTTTGTATCATGAAATTGCCTCATAAAGTGTAAGATTGTTTAAGTGCAGTTTTCATTTTCCTCCCAAAATTCAAAACTTTCAACATTGAAAACACATTGTTGAACAAAAGTGTGTGCAACTGCACTTTGAAAACATCCATTAAGCAAAGCTAGTGTCCAAGAGTGTGAGAATGCACAACATTTTAATGTAGGATGATTGAAAACACCTTCAAACTATCGCAAATAAATGAGACCATTCTACTTACGGCTAAAGTATAGCACTGCATCCGAAATCAAATTGATTCATGTGATGTTTGGATGTTATGTGCAATAATTTATGGAAAGAATGAGAAATGGTAGTAAACATTGCCATAACCGAAACCATAATATCGTAGGTCATGGATGTTGCTGTGAATAGGTATCAGATGTCAGCTTGCACCTATACATTGAAACGAAAAAAGACGTATTAAATCTCTTCTCATTGTACCATTTCGCGAATGACATCGATTTTTTTCATCTTTTTTTGTTCTGAAAGAAATGGGAAAATATTTCGATTTGTGTCGTAATTTTGATAAAATGTTATGAAATCATAAATGTTTGTTGCGCTTCAAGAACCCTTTCGAAGATTCCAAAGTTGTCGTTTGTGTAGGTAGCCGCCACGCGTGTCGACAAGTACATTGTGCGCATGTTTCGAATTCGGTGCAAGCATTTCAAATACATAGAGACTATAAATCAAATGAGGAGAAAGAGACAAATTCAAAATACATAACATGTTCAATGTTTTCGTTTTGGCCAATAAAATATTATGGTTTTCGTAAAATTTTAAACATAAAAAATGAGTGCATTACAAATGAAACGTACTAAATGTAATTTAGAGCAATTCCCATTGAAACTGTAAACTATGACGATGCGGCACAAAAAAACCACTTCTCCTGACACGTTCAATCGGTCGTTCTCTCTTTCTTTCGTTCACTCACTCTCTCCTCCCCATTTGGTGCATACATACATTAATGTTGTGAAATGGTATCACATACCAAACTCTCCGACAATTGTCAGTTAGTTTATAAAGAGCGCTCATGGGTTAAGAACACGTTTTACATACATTTTGTTTGGTCTGCAATAACCAACGACAGCCAACAAACCAACATAAATCCGACTTACGGAAACGCCAACAAACCAAAAAACGTCTCAACTAAAATGTGAACAAGTGAATTTTCAATTTTCCAATCGGTGAATTTTATTTTTCATCACTTGCCATAACATTAGAAATTTGCACCATTTGCATTCATATTTCTTCGTACTCACCGTTCCTCAAGCAACAACAAAGAAAAAAAAAACAAAATCAAGTCCATTTTATAAAAAAAAGTTCAGACAAGGTCATATCATTTCCGGATAACTATTTTCCTTTCAATTTTCGAAGAAATCATTTGGATTCGTTTTTTTCCTCCATTTCGGTGACTAATTTTCATTGTGAATGACATCATTTAACGTAGACCACAAAGAAAATTGCGTGAATGTCGCATTGGTGTCAAGATTTTTTATTTCTATCAAATTTGATGTGAAAATTTATTGAATTTTCCACAAAATAGTAATAATACATTGGTTTCAACAACGATAAAATTGAAATTAATAACTTCATTCTCAAAAAATCGATTTCGGATTGTTGGTAAACTCTGTCGCACTCTGTCACACAATTTGGACAATTGAAAGCATATTCAACGTGCTGCTGTCCGGTGTGTATGTGCACAGTATTGCGTGCAAAACGATGTTGACAAACGAAATGAAGGTATAACAACGACAAGAAAATTAAAATAGCGCCAAAACAAATAATCACCAAATTTTTTTTGGATTCAATACTCGATTCGGTATTTGAAATTCAACAACATTGTGTGTCTGTGTGTATGGCCACAATTTGTCTACCAATCGCAATTTGGCCGGCAAAAAGTGGTGCAGTGTAATTCATATTTATGAGTACATGTAAGTTGAAAATTCATCGTTCATTCATCGTTTACTAGGTCTCTAAGTGTCACGCGAAATTTTTGTGAGTGTTTTATATATTTTTTTCATTTGAATGATCGCCATGCGTTTAGCTGTTGTTCAGTATCAATGCGAATAACAATAATGAAGACAACGGTATATTTGTTTGGCATGCGTTTTTTTTTGTTCTGTTCTGTTGTATGTATTCACTGTAGTATTCACCTTGTATCGGTCAATGCTGCTGCAACAAAAAAAGTCATGAAATAAAAGAGTTACAAAGCCGTAGAATTTCAAATGATCAACGCAGTATTTTTTTGTATGGAATGCGCTAAAACGAGTTTGATAAGATTATGATAATGACCCTAATTTTATCAAATGCACTCATTGAAAATGTAACAAAAGAGATAAACACATGATATACATGAATAGAACCGTAGCTTGGTATCAGTTTCATTTCTTTTATTGTTTTTCATCACACACCATTTGCATGACATAACTTATCATTCAAAATGATTAAAATTCCATACTACTACTCTGAAGAGAAATAGAATAAAAAGTACGACTTCATCACCAAAGCCACTTTTATTTGCGATTAATTTTTTTCCCATTTGTCACTTTGAGCCAACAGAACGATTTATCAGCTGAATGTTTAACAACAATGAATTTTTGATGGCAGTAATAAATGTAGTTGATAGTTTTTTTTGTTGGTGTAATTGCCAAAGATTTATTCAGAGCAAAAATAAATAAATAACATAACAGAGACATTCCAGGTGTGAAAAATATAATAAAAAGATTACCAAAAAATCTCAGAATCAGGCTATGAATCATTCCGCTTCCTGTTGCTACGAAGATTAATCATTTCTTCGTCGTGTCATTTATCTGCACAGAGAAATAATCTCATCTTCAGAGCAATAACTGATAATTTGATTTTCTGTAATTGCGTTAGACTGAATGTCGCCAAATGTTCAATTTCCAACATTCACTCGTTGGATATAACATTTTATATGAAATTGCTTTCGTTTCATTGGTGGAGAAGGCCATGCACATATATATACTTTCAAAAGAAATCGACTTGGAAACGCTCTTAAAGTCGCAAATTATTCGCCACAATCGAAGATCGATAACGAGTTAAAAAAAAACACAATTTTCTTATCGTTTATGCATTTCGAAGTTGAAAAATAAACAAATGATAACTAAACTAAAATTGAGCGGAACATGCAAGTATTGACTGCTACCATAAGGTCATTTTACGATTTGATACTTACAAGTATCGGCGCAAAACGTGATTAAAATACTTAAGACACGTCGAGTGCAAAAGTGTTTTTCGTTCAATATGAAGATGATAGTCAAATGATGAAATTGAATGGATAAAAACGTGTTTCTGATATTAATGCCCGTTTTCTTCTGGTTCCAATGACATGAATTTTAATATCATTTGACTTTTTCGACTTTATTCGGCAATTGGTTTTTGTGTTCTATTCATGTTCTATCGTTTATTTGGATGATTGTTAAGTAACGACATTCATATACGCTGACTCCATCATTTTATTTATGGCAAAAAAAGCACATAAAATAAATGGCATGAAAGAAAACTGCAAAGATGCGAATTTATCCACATTCGACAATCTGGTGCAGTGTGTAGAAGACAAAATAGCAACACTGTGCGCATTTACGTCAAACAATTTTATCGAGTTAAGTGTTTTCTCGTGCACTTTCATTGCACTTTATTGCGTCACAACAATCGGACGGCATATTTAGATGTTTTAGACAAAACGGTACTTTTGTCCGGTAAGTCCCCGGCAATAGATAAATACCCCTCTTCAAATTCATTCGAATTCAAGTGTTTTACTTTGAATTGGTCATATTTCGTTTTGATTTTGGTGACTAAACTCATTCGAGTTAGGAGAAAAGAAACACAAAAATAACCCAAACGGTAAATCCCACAAAAGATAAGGATGCCGTGTCTTGTTTTTTTTTTACGGAAAAAAATGTCAATGGAGAATTTCCTTTATCTTAATATCTTAACCAGGAATTACCGCAACATCTGAATTGTCGCAATGTTTGAATCAAAGTCGGCACTTTGTTTTGATAAAATGTCAGAGCCATTTCCAATATTAATTTCTTTGGAATAAAAAGAGAAACGATAACAATTGTGCAATTTTTTGTTTTTGTGCAATACGGGTACTTTGTGGAATCGTTATAATTGAGCAACAAACGGCGGTACAGTGTGACAACATGCAAAGAGATTGGTATCACTTGGGAAATGACTATAATGACAATCGTGTTTTTGATGCTTCGACGCGTGGCGCAAAGCGAAAAATGCGGAAATTGCTTTTCGATTTGGTTAAAAATTGATTTGAAGTTAATTTGCAAAAAATTTCTATTTGGATAGAATTGAACAGACAGTTGATTGATCGCCATACCCTTGTTGCGGTCTTCAAGAGTTTTGGAACGATTGAACGGCGATAATATGGCGTGTGGCAATTAATTAGATAATTAATTCGCTTGACTATGAAAAGCGATAATGCGCATAAAAATTGCCGTAATGTAACGGAAACTCATTTATTCTTCATAAACAGGAACGGATTTGAATTCAAAATTATGCGCTTCGTACAAATAAACAACAACAGATAAAAAACAAACAAATTGAAAGCAATGTGTATAAGGCCAGCATCTCTTTGAGCAATTGTTGTCATTTTTTTGCTCATTTTTTTTTCCTTTTTGAAGTAGTAATTAGCTCATGAAACAATGGCGTGATAAGAAGAAACCGATTAATTGCGAGAGCCTTATATTAATAGTTAAAAAAAAAAACATTGAATATATATGTCAATTCTCGGCATCGATATCATCAATTTTTGCATTCGACATTGCTGTTTACCATCGTTCGGCGAAATCGCGAATCAACCAGAAGCTCGTTTGTCGGCATTTGACACCTTTAACGAATTCTCTATGATACGATGTGATCATGATTTAATGTCTACATATATAGTCGATTTGATATCTCTTGCACGGATAACCTTATCGCGAGCGTAACCAATATTGTCATCACTCTATTACGCTGGTATGTGTACATACTGCGTGTACTTTTAAAAATTTATAAAAACGAAAATATGATTATACTCAATTCGTTAGTTACTGGATAACATTTATCGCAACCAGTTGTGCACTCATACAGTTTTTCGCTGTCAATTTTTATTGAAGTTATATTCATCAAAATCAAAGCAACGCGTGCGTGCATTTTTCTATTATTTTTTCAAATTTATCGAAATTTATGAATAAATTTTTGTATTTGGATCATTTCCGTACGTGGACAAAAAGTGCGTGTTTTCTCTTTTTATATATATTTTTTCACGTTTTTTTTTCGTTAATTTTCTTTAATTGAATTTATTCATTTATTTTCTCTTTACTTTTTGACATCTTTTTTTTAAATAATAAGTTTGGTGTTGCCATGAAATGGTTCTGTTTTGTCAAACATAATACAGCTCTAATTTCATTAAACTGTTTGTTTCATTACTTTTCATATCGGCCTGTTTTATGAATAAACGGTCAATACAAACAAATTTATACGGAATCATCTGAGTTTCTATTCTTATTTTGAATGATAATTTCGACAGATGTCTTTTCACTTAATTGGACCAAAAATATGGTGCCAATATAAAAAAAAAAACAAACAATTTCATTATTGAACGCTGCGAGTTTTCCAAGCGATGTTTCTTGGTTGAGTGTACTTGAACTTGAACTCGCACAATTCCCAAGTGAACTGAATGAAAACGATTTTTTTAAGTGAGGAAAGAAAACTAACTAATGATACTGACTAATTACCAGAAGAGCGCGCTGTTTTATCACAAAATGAGTTTTTTCTTGTAAAATTTGTTTCCTTTCTTTCATTAAACAAATCAAATTGTGAAGACAATGGAATGTAAAATTTTCGTTTGATACACCTTGTATTCATATCTAAAAGTACTCTTAGTTAAGTGAACTGACCAAGAGTTTCCTGTGCATAACAATACATGATTTTGTTGATAATGTTATCGATAATCAAACGTTTGGCCTTTTCAATCAACATGAAATTGATTTTTCGCCAATTTGTTTTCGATAAATTCATTGAACTTTGTCAAAAAGTCAAAACAAAAGCAAAGAAAAAGTCGCTCGCAATTCAAGGTGCTTCAGTCATTGTACAACGATTTCTATGGAAAGTTCCAGAGATTTCGGTTTATTTCAATTCGAATGACCGGTTTTAATATAGTTTTGGAAACATTCATGTTCGAGAGAAAAAAAAATCACTCGTCATAAAATAGGTTACTTTTTAATGAACAACAAACTCAATAAAACCAGATAACAGAGTGCAAATATGTTTGATCATTTCAATAAAAAATGTTGTGCTTCCCCGAAATCACACTTCCATCTTCAAATAGTAAAAAATAATGAGTTTTAATTGGCTCCACGTTGAAATAAAATCCTCGGCGCGAAACAATTGAAAATTAATTTGAACGTAGTTTTGATAGTGACTTCATTGGGGTGCAGTGTTTAATAAATCGTCAGAATAAAAAAAAACAAATCGCACGTCAAAGATCTGGACAATAGAATTGTAAAGAAAAAAAATCAAATCAACAAGTGTGACAATAACGATGTAATGACTTTTATCGCACAAAAGAGAGAAATTATTATAATTGCGGAATTAATTCCGAGATTTAATTAGTAACAACGACAACCACTGTTTGCCATTATAATTACCGTAATGCACAATAAATGCAAAATAGAGATGAGCGTTTTGATAAATTAGAATTTTTTTTGAGACAAATTTAACATGGCTGTGCACTTGTTAGAATACATTTGAACTAATAAATTTGTTCTATGGTGTCATCTGCACGGGAAATGAGGCTCGGTTGCACATTTTTGTTAATTAGTCAATAGCCGTAATTGTCGATCTACTTCATTTTTTAAAATTTGAATAAAACACGTTCCAAAGCTAAATTACTGACATTGTTCACGTTGAAAGA